CAGCAATAGATGTAATAATTAATAAGCCTCACAAAAAAATTATGATTAAAATAGATACTGGACAGTTTTATTGATTTCATGAATGTTCGAATGCTTTCTATAGATACACCCACCAATGTGAATTAGTACATGACGCGTTAGAGCATGACTTAAATTAAACAAGTAAATTGTGGCTATCTCCACATGAGTCTCGAAAGGACAACAGCTGAAGGATACTAGTACCTTAAGCTATATACTACTACTCGGATTAATCGTCCGATTCCATGAAGACCTGAAGCCTCTGGCAACAGCTGATTCATATATCTATTACAGATTAATATTACTACTGGAACTATCGTCGGATCGATAAATTGGTTTCATCACCAGTAGTAGGGTTCTTCATGTCCTTATTGGTCTTGAAGGAACACTATTATCGGCCCATACACAACCCCGCCCGGTGCAGGCTCAGAGATAGGTCGAAGTGTGCGTAGTGAAGCAGGTACACTGGGGCATTCTCTGCGTCAAGCTCATGAATTCCAGCACACCGTCGGGAGGCGGTGGGCTGGAACAGCCCGCCGCCGCCCAGCCCTCCGGAGCTCGACAGCCCCGCTCCGATCCCCCCAAGATGATCCCCAGAATCGTCCGCACCTGCGTCAGCTTCAGCACCGGCCAATGCTGCTCCTCCTCGGCCAATTGGAAGATTCGATCCGGCAGCCTCTTCAATCCCGGCAGCTACGACTCCGATTCACCACGATTCACCTCCTCCGTGCCTGTGGCGCCGCTGCTCTCGTCTTCGCTCCGCTCTCTACGTCGGGAGGCGGTGTGCTGGAATTCTACGTCGACCACCAACATGGGCAAGTCGCTGGGAATATGTTTCGGCTAGTATTTTGGAGGGTTGGTTTTGCCATTATATGTCTAGCGCATTCAAGGCTGAAAGGTGTTCGTCGAAATTCCTGCATGCAACCAGTTCACGGGATGATGTGAGAAGTCGGTCCGTGCTTCGCTCCTAAAGGAATCAATTCAATGTGATAACTCGACCCTAGCCCGGCCTGCCTTCTGATGTTTTCAAGATCGATCGTCGAGCTTACCCTGATGGAGGTACTGGAGACTCTTGTACGACGTCACTCCATTCCACCCGTTATCGAGCGAGACCGCATTCGGACCTAGGCAGCAATCGGGGACTTCATTGTGTACATGAAGTCCCCGATTTCATTGTGTACATGCAGGCAAAGCAAAAGGCACAGGGTCAGATTTCATTCCGATGCTGCAAACAATCGATCGATGGAAGGGTATCGATCGACTGATTCATCCCACTAGCCCATAGTTCTAAAGCACAGAGGAAACCAAATGAAGAAGGAATGTTCCATCACCCGAGATGGCGAACCGCAGACGAGACGCGGGGCCCATTAAGGGAATGATATCTAAATGTCCTCCCTGCGACGCCACGAATCTGTACTAGTTCCCGCTCTTTCCAAACTCATGTCATCGCTGCAGACCTGACCGTGGACAGATTGAAGATACTGGAATTCACGTCAATTTATGCAGTCGTCCGTCGCATCGAGCGTGCTGCTGATTTATTCACCTCTGAAAGGGGAATGGGTTGAGCCTGCGGTCGTGCAATTCGTCGTCGCTCATGCTCGAAGCCTCTATTTGCAAATCAGCGGCTGTGTCATGGACATGACCTTGCATCGTCGATTCTCTAATTGCAATCCCGTATGCGGCACTATCAAGTTCACAATTAACAACCAATAATGGGGAAGGCGGTCAGAGGCATCACCGAGCGAGACAGAACAGGATCCCAGGCTTGCAGGAAACCAGAAGTTATCTTCCCCGATAGACGGCGGGGATCTATCAGAGTCATAGTTTTCATGAGACTGGCGCCGCGTTCGTGGCTGCGGCCGCCCCAAATGCAGCGATCTGCACAAACATACCCATCATCGATCCGTTCACGCCATGTTAGCTCTTTCGCCTCGATGTAAACATCGGGGCGAAATCGTACAGGGTGGGAGGGACGAAATCACTTCAAAGATATATATCCAGAGAAACTCTGACGTAGTGACTCTGGAACTCAGCAGCTCCGGGACGTCGTGCTATACGTGCTGATCCTAAGTCCAATTCCAGTACGCCTGCATGGGCATCTAAGCATCGTTTGGGTCAGTCATTAGCGAGAGCCAGCAAATATTTGCAAAGGTCGCACAAATGATTGCAAGTAAGTAATCGCTGGGAGTGACCTTGCGATGCCCATGGCTCCGCTTGTGGCCGATCCACACGTCGAAGCCCTGGTCCACGAGCCTGAACGGCAGCAGAGTGTCGTTCCCAGAATCCACGGAACCAACTGCTTCTCATGAGATTCGTTGAGAAACTTGTGGTGCATTGGCAGAACCGGGTGCTGATCGACGACTCCTGCATGTGGGTTCGAGTCCTAGGTCGCTCTCGGCCATAGCTGGAACTGGAGAACTATAAAGAGCCCGGCTGATCATGACCTCTGTATCTTTTCGAAGATACAGAACTCATTTGCAAGTTCTGTCGTTGTATAAAGCTCACTTTTATCAGCAAACCAATTTTTAATCCCTTCTGAAATTAGTTCAGTGTACAAAACAGCAACATCCAATGTATGACAGTCTTGCATCCTCAGCCAAGGGAGAACAATGGGGTCGAGCAATCGGCCTTTATCAGTATGGCTGTCACTAGCACCACCTCGAATTGCTCGAATTGCTACTCTGGCTGCTGTGAGCCAAGGCGTCGAGAGATGTACACCATGTATTTGCATGCCTACAAAAACTTCTGCGAGATTCATGTTACTCATGAGTCTTTAAAATCAGAATACTGGCAAAAATAAACATCAACCTTAGCTTTTGTTTGGCATGGTTTCAGAAGCCATGGGGTCATTCAGATTCTACAACCAAAAGATATCTGAACTTGGACGGTGTATGTGTAATTTGTTTACACTGGCAGGAATATTCGGACGATAATTAGATGCTTCGTGTGCATCGGGTTATAACCCGGGGCAGCATGGATAAGTCTGTGTGGGACGAGCTGGAGCCGAAGCTCTTGCATTATCTTAAACAAAACAAAAGAGACGATTACTTGTTTCAAGAAGCCACCACCCCGAGGCTGTACCCACGAACGCAAGCCCTCCTAGTATCACCTCGGAAAGTCCACCATCTCCTCCTCGTCCTCCTAGTCTCCACCTGATGGATGGATATGGAGCTACGTCTTATTCGTACTCTCAACCAGGACAGGAAATTACGGAGAATCTACATCACTTGGAAGTGATGTAGATTCTCATGACCAAATCCTACTTTCCCCCAGCAGCACATGGATATGGATCATGGGTAATCTTCACTCATTCGGAGGAGGAGGAAAGAAAAACCGGGGGTGCTGTCGAGTGCTGAATGCACACCTGGCTTGTCCTCGCCGATAGTTGCAAAGGGGCTGAATGAGTCCAGCCGCAGCAAGACATTTGTGCTCGAGATAACTAAACATCCACTACAGTATGCTTCGCCCTGCTCTAGATAGTGGAGGACGATAGTCATCATCAATTCTAATGTGATCTTCATGGACCGAGAGTAAACTTAGAAAATTTATCCTAGAGTGTCAAGGAAGTAAACTGCTAGAATAGATTCAATTCTTCAATGCTAGTCCACAGCGTGCTTTTGTTTATGTAAGAATATCTTAAAATGCTCCGGGTAGTGTGGATTGCATTGGTGACTCAAAACTTCATGGCCGTCAGTCGCTCCTTTAGGTTCTGCTTCAGCATCTTCTTTTCCAGATCTTTCGCCTTTTGAGAAATTGAAGGCCACGGATCACTAGTGAAATCAATATGACCGTGCATTACGGCATCAAAACTACCTTGTTCGGTTTCTGCACAGAAAGGAGGGACTCTGCACAAAAGAATGTAAGAAATGACTCCAGCACTCCAAACATCAGCCTCAGGCCCATAGTTACGACGCAAATCCTCCGGTGCCACTTAATTAGCACTTCCAACAATATCTGTTAACACTTCTCCAGGCTTGAAGAAGACAAAAAAACCAAAATCCGTCGTTTTCAGGGGTGTATCCTTGTTCTTATTGGCCAGTAGAAAATTCTCGGGCTTCAGATCCCGGTGCATAACTCCTAGAGAATAACACGTTTGAACCACTTGCACGATAGTTCTACACAGAGCTGCAGCCGCCCTCTCACTGTAATGGCCTTGCTAAATAATGCAGTCGAAGAGTTCTTCTGTCAGGATCCGACAGCAGCAACATTCTGTACCAATGGGTCGAAGGTCATGAATGGTGTTGGAAGCTGCTGATTTGCTTCCGGATCAAGCGAGACGAGCCATCTTTGCAGCCCAGAATGATGGATTATCTCCCACAACAAATCCCTCGCTCGTTCAGATATTCCGCCTATGTGCCTTCAAGCGGGGCCGACAGTGGTCATAGTGAAACGACTCTTCCTTCTGCACCAACAGCGACCTTTTCAACGTTGGTTCCGCTACACGGTACTCCCGATCAACCCTCTTGTTCAACCTGTCCGCTGCTTCTTCTGATCCAGCTGTCCTGTTGCCTTGTCTCTCTTTGCTGCTTGAATCTTCCACAATTTTTGTAGTCGCCGAGTTGTCTTCTTGAAGTGGAGACTTTGAAGACTACCTGTACTATACATACGGCCTCGACCTGATAAAGAACACAGACAAGGCGGTCCGAACTTTTGAATAAATCTAACTAAGATTGACGTAAGTCTGGTTGCCTGGGAAGAACCTCTGTATGAGTCTGACGCTGAGATCTCTAAATCAATATTCCGCCGTTCTATAAAAAATTCTTCACTCCACAAGTAAACTTCCTGATAAACTTTCTCAAAATATATTTCTTTCAATGAGAGGATGATGTTCCAAACTTTTTAGCTATGCGTACTACTCCTAACACATATTTAAATTGAGTAATTATCGATGTCAATGGATAGGTGACAATGGAGTGAGGGCAATATATGATTCCACCTTCATTGCAGTAAACCACATCGATCGACAGGGTTCTAGATACGACTGTTAATTAAAAATTGCTTTTTTACTGCCTGTTAATGGAGACCTATTTATGCTCCGGACAGAAACTCCAAAATCATGATTCAAATTTCCAACTCGGTTCACTACACCTAAAAGGGAAAAGAGAATCCCTCTCCATGCAAAACTGTCTGCAGGAGAACGTAGTTGGAAACTGTATCCATTGATGAATGGTTTTAATATCACGGTGAGTACGAGACTCAGTAGCAAGTACTTGAAGATTCACAACACTAAAGTTTACAGGCTGCTTAGAGAGCCGCAACTGTTCGTACAGAACTATGGAGATTCCACGCTGCGTTCGCAGAGGAGCAGAAGGTGAAGAGAATAGCCGCGCACACCCTGTCAACAGTCGCTTCGACGGCCATACGCTGCTGACTCTGGACAGGCCCCGCAAGAAGACCGACGCGATGAGCAGCCACACCGCGCCCCCGACGATCGTCGTGACCGTCATGTTGGCCTCCAGATCGCCAACCGTGGTCATGGACGCGAACCCCGCTGCGCCGAACGCTCCAAGCACGAACGCGGCCGACACCAACAACAGGAAGGCCGTCACGGCCAACCAGTCGCGAACTCGCGCCACGGCGTCCTCTATGTACAAGTCCCCCGCGGGCAAGACCGCTCCCGCTCCGGCCATGACGGTGGCGATGGCGAACGAGAAGGACAAGCTGTTGAAGCCCCAGAAGAGGCGCGCGATCCTTCTCGTGTGCTCGTCGTGGTCGCCCAGCGGAGGCTGCAGCCATCCTCCGTACGTCACGCTGGCGATGACGGCAGCGCCTACCAGAATCGCATTGGCGGCGTCCACGTACACCTGTCGATCGCGATACATGCGATCGATTCTCTTCTCCACCCTTGGATCCGACGTGACGACGCTCTCCAGTTCCAGCATTAAGTCCCGTCTCTGCACGTCGCCTGCTGTCGACCGCGCCGCTGCATGTACGTGGTGAAGGGCGTTGTTGCCGTCGACATCCTTCTCGTCGAGTTTGATTTTTCTTTCCAGGAGAAGGTTGACGGCGCCGAGCGCGCCTACGTGTACGGCCCAATGGAGCGGCGTGTAACCACAGCAGTCCTTCGCGTTCAGATCTACGCTGGAGTTACCCACGAGTATTGCAACCACGTCCGTAGCATGGGTATCCCGTTGCAGGTCCCGCCGAGAGCAGGCCAAATGCAGTGGCGTGCGTTGAGAGAATTCACCCACATTGACAAACGCGGAGTAAGAGTGGCTTTCAACGAATAATTTCACGAAGCTTTTGGATTCTATGAGAACAGCATAGTGCAACGGAGTCAGACCATAAGCATCTCTGTGGAAATTTGTTTCGAAAAGAGAAACACATTCGTCAAGTTTCTCCTGCTTGTCCAGTAGATATTCTGCTATATCTTGATGTCCACTCAACACAGCAACATGCAGGGGCGTGCGAAGATATATTGGTGACTCGACATTCATCACTAGAGCTTTTAACCGTTTGATAAGAGCATGAGAAAGCTTCTCAAAACTGGGAGAATCCTTATACCCATCTTCTACTGGGACTATGTATTTCAAAATATTTGTTTTGTCAATTTTGTCAAAATACTTTGTCAAGTTTGAGAAACGAACAAGGCGCGGAAGCGGTTCTAGCTTTAAAATTCTAAATATAGATACCCGAGAATACGACTCCGATCGAGCTGCAAATATTTCGATGACTAATTTGAAAATAAAGATAGATAGATCAGCATCCTCGCCTACTGGGTCGAAGAATCTACATTGAGTTAACTCCCGAACAAAGTCGGTTTCACCGTGTTCAACGGCATCGTGAAGAGGACAATCGTCATATAGAATACTCCTGAGGACTTCAACATTCCTTTCCCTACTCGCCTCTCTGAGTTTGGGCTCCCAATTTTCTCTCCACTGTTCGAATGTCGGAGGAGGTGAAGGTGGAGGAGGGTTTTCACTAACGAATTCCTCCCAGTCCTGTGCAGCACGTTCGCTGCCAATCTCCTCCTGCTCGTCTCTTCTCGTCTCTTCTTCGCCTCTCTCCATGGAGTCTCCGCCTTTCACAAACCCATCATTCTCTTCGATCAGAGAGGAGAAACTCAATCTGATTCCAGTGAAAAATACAACATGCATCAACTTGATATGTCACCGACTATTCTGTGACATATCGCAGAATGGAGGCTGCTTTGGATCTGACAATCTACCGCCCTGGCGCTTACAGTAGAGAGCGGAAGGGGTCTAGAACCTGAACCGGAAGATGAGAGTGGAGAGCTTTGAGAAATGAGGTTTGCAGGGACGGGGTTCAAGCGGGGAAGAGGATAGTTTTATAGGTCTTCAAATCCCGACAACCGAAATCTGACAAAGAGAATCGAGAGCTGGAGGATTCTAACCGGATATCCTTTCAGTATCATGTGCAATCAAATCTCGATGACTTGCATGAAGGATATCATTTGTCTCGAATAAGTACAGTGCTGATAACGGTAGAAAATAAATTTCCGAATATTGTAAATTAAAAATTTTAGATATCACAATTCATATTAAATTTTTTTGCAAGATCTCAATTTTATTGACATTTATGAGAAGTTATAATTCCAAACCTCAAGTCGACTTATCTTAAAAATTTTATTATTCCAAAGTCTCGTGAGTGATATGTAAATTATTAGATAGTTGAATTCTAGTAGGACCTTTTAAAAACTAAAAAGACTTTTATTGCTTTTAAGAAATATAATCAAAATCATTAAATATTTACACTAAAATTAGAGTAAAGCATATTAAATTGAAATAATAAAACACAGTTCTTTTAGTTTGCTATTCATGTACAAGTACAATATCACTTTATAGTCATACTACTCTAGCTTACCTCAAATGTTCATCGGCTAAAAAGTTCAGCTCTAATTGAGATCATGATTGGATTTAGAGCTGGAATTCTTTTAAATTTCTCGCAAGACGGAGGCCTTCAATTCTAGATTTGTCTGTTGGTCGATTTTAGGAGCATGTATGAGTGCCATGAAGTCTTAAAAGAGTTTAAGGAGCAGAATGATTGCCATGAAGGATTGTAGTATTCCCTTACCCAATTAATCATTCGATTGAGTCTTGACCTCGCAGACGATAGGCTTGTGGACTTTCGTTCACAGGACCTTTTAACTGTGTGCCGAAGTATTTTATCGCGTTGGCGGCGTCCACGTACACCTGTCGATCGCGATACTTGCGATCGATTCTCTTCTCCACCCTTGGATCCGACGTGACCACGCCTCCAGTTCTTGCATTGTGTGCCGTTTCTCCACATCGCCTGCGGTCGACCACGCCGCTGCGTGCACGTGGTGAAGGACGGTGTTGTTGTCCACATCCTTCTCGTTGAGTTTGATTTCTCTTTTCAGGAGAAGGTTGACGGCGCCCAGCGCGCCGACGTGGAGGGAGCGGCGTGTAGCCACAGCAGTCCTTGGCATTCTGGTATACGATGGAGTTCCTGACGTGGAGTACAACCACGTCCGTGCCACGGGTGTGAGTGTCCACGTTAAGAGAAGCTCTGGACGACAACTTTCACAAAACTTTGGGACTCCTTCACACCAAGGAGATTTTGGTGTGAAGGATGTGAAGGTATCAATCGCAAAACAAGTTGAATTTGAAATTGCTTCTTAGGAGAAATATTAACAGCTCGTCTCAGATTTTTTTTTAAGGTCGAGTCTGATTCTTGGTCCAGGAATGATACGTTGAGGCAAGTACCTATAAAAAAGAAACCACCGCCAGTTCTTAAGGCTATACCTATTTACACAAGTCCTCGTAGCAGCTTCGAAAGTACATCTCCCCAATCGTACTGCTACTCTCCTCGTGTTATTCATGTGGAGTTTCAAGAACTCCTCCCTCCTTCTCGCCTCCAGGTGATGGGACATACGGAGGATAATCTCCACCATCGTCCTCGTAGTCCTCACCAGTGTATATGGAGTTTCAAGTCCTCCTCCCTCCTCCTTGTATCTAGGTGAAGGTTTTCCAGAGGATATGGAGCTCCATCTTCTTAGTTTTCTCCACCACATTTACGGAGATTCAACTTCACCTCCATAGTCTTACTCTTGCCTTGAACCGGTGGATATGGAGCATAGAATCAACAGGACAGGAGCTTCTCGCCACCTAGTGCTGGTTCAATTGGAGAGGATATTCATCACCCAAGTCCTCCTACTTTCGTCGTGAAGATATGGAGCACCGAGTCATGCTGTTTCCAACTATTCCTCAGGCACGGGGAGCCATAAGGAGGACCATCTACGCCGCCACCGTCTTCCTACTCTCCTCCGAGTCGTTCCAATTCGAAATCGCCACCGGATGCGGGCACGACCAAAGACGGATGAGATCTACATCACAACCAATATCTGCACTCTCCCCAGTTGTTCCAGCTGGTGGATCACAATATCTGCACTCTCCGCAGTTGTTCCAGCTGGTGGATCAGGACACGGAGGCTCGCATGTATAATTAGGTTTCAGTTTTTATGAATTCAGCGCTGAGGCGCTGAATTCACTACATTCGCGCGTATGTCAAGAGTGATATATGCTAAACGTTGACAAGATTGGAACAAGAAACAAACCTCAGGATCCTCCTAGCTTGTGGGGTCCTCTTCTTTTCCACATTCACCTTGTTTCTTGTCGGCTTCATGTATTTTGAGAGGGCAGAATATGGTCTACCACGCCTCGATCAATTCTCGGATCTTGACGGATATATCATACTACATTACATTGTGATTGTTACCGATTCCCATGATTCGGAGCAGGAACTAACAAACCCTTCGCTTAGGCATAACATTACCTCCGATTTATAGAGTTCGCACAAGAAGTTTTGAGCTTGATTCAAAGCATTATGTAGAATGTTTCTTACATCACTTGTTCATTTAGCAATCATTTTGATTCTCTTTTGCACCAAGTAATATATATATTTATCTTAATTTGGTATTTAATTACATCAATATTTCAAATCTATATATTTACTTACATATCCGGCAGGGTAAGTGAAAATCTATGCTTTGAATGTTTCCATAACGACATGGAAGATAAAAGCAAATTAGGATTAATATTAAGAACAAATTATATATATATAAGAAATATAAATTTTCCTATTGTATGATGTTTCTCATGATTTCATATTGACTTTTCTTATTGAGATATTTCTAAATTGGTTAACAAAGATTATGAAAAAATATTGATATGTGATGAAGGATCATATTATAACTAATAATCACAATATAGCTTTTTTATAGCAAATGGTTTGAATTTTCATTCCAAGAAGCCCACTAGGTACTGTACTAATGAAGGACTAGTTGACAAAAGAACACAATTTTCAAGAAATAAATACCTTAATTAAACCATTTAATCTACACTTCTATTAGAGTTGATCTCATAGTGGTTCATATGTAGAGACTACTATATATTGATAGTCCTATGAATATATGAAGTTTTGTCCAGTTGATACTCTGAGACTTCTCAATTAGTTTATCGTACTTCTCATAAAATTTTCTGTCCACCGGAAAGATGTTACAAGCATAAATATGTTACCCATAAATTAGTCTAATTCATGGGTATAACTATAGACATAAGATGAAGAATGTTTAAAGCTCTACTATACTTCCCAACCTGCGTTACGATCATGAATTATCATAATCGTACTCCGCATCACAGATGTGACGTAGCTGAAACCAATTACTACTTTGTGTATTTTCCGTGCATGTTATTCTTGCGAAGTAGCCTTCATTTTACAAAAACTCCAAAGTGTGGATGTCATCCACTCATCACCTCCATAGCAAGAAGCTTTAATAAAATTAGGCAGACAAGCGATAATCTGTTCACACAAGAGATAGATATGGAATCCAGTGTTATCCTAAGTGTAGATCCATATTTAAATAATAGTCGGGTATGTGCAGCGGACAGAGCAGCTATGAACAAGGAGTACACAGATGCCAGCAATCTCCAAGTGACTTGGCTCTTTTGTTTACATGAGAGTACCTGGAACATGGTGCGACCAACAAATCTCACAGGATAATATATGAAAGAAAAAATTCTATATAAAATAAATAAGTATAGTAAATCTGCATTGAAATAGATGGGACACTGGAATTCTAACATCTAGATTTGTAATGTATATTGAATTACTAGGTTGCATGATAATGTGGTCTGGAACATGTTGCAACCAACAAATCTCACGGGATTATATATGAAAGAAAAATTCCATATAAAATAAATAAGTTTAGTAAATCTGCGTTGAAATAGATGGGACACTGGAATTCTAATATCTAGATTTGTAATGAGTATTGAGTTACTGGGTTGCATGATGATGTGATGTTCATGTGGCCAACGTAAAGCTTTAGTAGAGTGGCCGAATTCAGAACCTTTTGGATAATCATTTATAAGAAGCATAGGTATCTTCAGTAAGTTCATAATGAACAAATACCAAATTTGAAACATATTCCTGGGAGTTTGTCATGGCTGTAATGGTTAAGTAATTGCACCTTGAAACCAAAGGCTAAGATGCTGGTGTTTTCAAATTTTTTGCATTTCTTTTTTCGGTTATGTCGGTAAATATCATTCAGGGGTAGTGTTTTTCTTGGTGAGCAGAAGCTCAAGATTTATGACAAAATTTTCTGACTCAATGGTCCGCAGCAGTTTCAGTAATGATTCGCTGAATTGATGCATTACATACTGTACATTCTTTATATTGAGACACTCACACCAAAAAATCACAATTCCGTCTTTACCATATCTAAAAAAGTCAAAATGAAAAAATATACTTTGCTTTCACGAATTTGGTTGTTCTTGGATTTCAGATGAATATAAAAATTTTATTTAATCTACTCACATTAATTTATTTATTATAGAAATACTTGGTTAATTCAAATGCAAGACATGGAACAAAGATATGACTTTGATCAAAAAAATTATTTTGAATATTAAAATTGTGAAATTTTTTGGTTTTAAGTTTAAAAAGATACACGTATTTGGAATATAGTGAAATTTTAATTTTTTTAGATAAAATGTATCATTAGATAAAACTCATTTGTGAGATTTGGTAACTAGAGAAATGAAAATTTTAATTTATACCATACCAAGAAATTAATATATTTAAAAAATTATAAATTATAGCCTATCTACTAATATGTATTATTTTTGGTATTTGTGACATAATTTCATTTATTTTTAACTATAAATAAATAAATAAATAAATATCACAATTCTATTCTATAAGGATTCAAAATGAAATAAATATCAAGTGAATCTAAATAAAGAAGGATTCAATATCCTACTGAAAGACAAAGGTAGAATGGACATTAGCAGCAGTTCGTCGAACAAATAATCAGCCGTCTACGCAACTCACGTGGATATACAATCCGGCAATGTGCTCCCTGTCTATCCATAATAAGAACACAATCGCTTTAGCATGCGGGGAGAGCAGCTATAGACAAGGTGTCTAAAGCTGCTCTGGAACTCCAAGTGGCCTTGCTCCAACGTTGAGAAACGAGCAAGTTCATCATGATGCAATCAGCTCACGTGATTATGTGCAGCCTGCTTCTAGCTAAATCTCACCTTGACAGAACTCATTTACGTACCATATATAATAAGTGAAACAGATGGGAGTATTGGAAGCCTCATCTCGGAGTTGTACCCACTGGCAGAAGCTTATGCGTATGTTGCAAGCTTATGAGTCTGATAAGTAGAAAGAAGATGTACTCAAGTATTTTTCTACAATCTGATTTTCTCTAGAGAAAGATTTGACAGCATTAACTTAAGATAACTTAAGATGGAATATAGAATAACTTAAGATGGAAACAACGGAGGCGAAGATGAGCACGACAATGACTACGAGAACTGCATGTCGATGGGGTACAAGGGTCGCAAACCTTGCAAGCCTAAGTCTTCCCCTACTCAAGTTCCCGATTGTAATCCACCTGCAGCTAAGTCGCCCCCTCCTCCATTCATCGTGAAATCTCCCCCTCCTCCTTCCTACTCACCTCAATCGCCACCACCTCCGGCAAAATCGCCACCTCCACCTGCGAAATCACCTCCTCCTCCCATTGTGGCTAAATCACCACCACCTCCTGCAAAATCTCCTCCTCCTCCAGTGGTGGTCAAGTCCCCTCCACCCCCGATGAAGTCTCCCCCACCACCATACACCTATTAGATCGGAATTGCGCTCGGAGCTGTAAGCTCCTATCAATACAACAGTTATTGATACTACCAATGCCTCTTGAGCTTACAACATCAATGTTGATATCGCACCAGCACTGCCTCTATGACGTGTGAATCAGAGTTGTAGTCCGCTTTATAAAATTTAAGGATGGATGAATTCACTGTGCTCTTAGAGTGACTAGGTTTCTTGGCAGAGGCCAGTTTACCTGTTGTCATTCACAATAGTTTAGGTTCTAAGAGGATTATAAATTTGGTTCTGTAAGCGAATGCAGATTTCACAGCCTGAAGAGTGAATGGAAACGCTGTTCATCTCTTCATTTCTGTGTACAACCTTCAATATCATTGACGAATTCAGATATTAGCATGATGTTTCATACCCTCATCGAAAAAAGGCCGTGTTTTTACTGTGGAATCATATCTGATTACGTAGATACGAACAGCTTTTACTTCGTTTGACTCTGCTGTATCTGATTGTCATTATCGCGTAGAGCAATCACATTTTAGCACGATGCCAATACCGACTCAGCTTTCACTCATGAAAAAGCAAGAAATCAATCTGCAGCCGAGCTTATTACGGTTTGTGATCATATAATGTGACATGTTAAGCAACATGAATCCAAGATACAGTCGATCCAACAAGTTACATTCAAATCCACCGTCATGGAAGCTCTGAGGTCTGGAAGTTTATTACACACTATGATCCATCTTACTGTCATGCACATTAGTCTAGCTGCTTGGAGGATTCTAAATTCGGTTCCGTAAGCATATGCAGATATCACGAGACTGAAGAGTGAATGTAAACATCAAGTCTTCATTTCTGAACTAACTTCTGTGTACAAACTCCAATATCTATTATGATTCAAATATTAGATTGAAGTTTGATAAATCAATCTAAAAAAGTTGTTTTTTTACACCGGAATGTGATCTGATTACGTAGAAACGAACAACTCTATGTTTGAGCTGCTCTTTCTGATTCTTTGTTATCATCGCCGGGAGCCAGCGCGTTGTAGCAATAGAAGTTGCCAACTTAAATTTTACTCGTTAAAAGGAAGAAATCGATCTGCAGATGAGCATGTTACAGTATGTACTTGTTAAGCAACATCAAACCCCAAGTTCACCTACCGACATGGTAGATGTAGGAGGTCTACTAAAGAGTATCACTTTCTGTTACTTCAGACTCTCGAACGTTTTGTATTTTGTTTGAGTTGCGAAATGTAAACTGTAACACGAAGGATTTACGACTGTAGACGGATATCAGTTAGTCATTCATTTGTCCTCTACGACTCTTCTTGCTGGAAACTCTGTCTTGCATTCTTGCTTTCTAACAAGATCATCATCAAATCTAAGAAATCAAATCATTCTCTCGGTATCGAACTGGTTATGGAGGACTGTAACTATCTAAGTACGCTCCAGAGGCTGCCTCACTGCTTCTCATCCGTTGACGCTGAGCTTATTGTAACTGTGCTTAGTCTTCTATTCTAGCCAAAAAGTAACTCCTTCTAGTTCTGTCAACGAAGATACTTAATATATCGCTATTTTGATTCATTTTGACAAAACTCAATGAGTGGCCGCGTGATGAAAGTCAGCCTAAAATCCCGACCAGTGGAATGATGTACGGTACTTAAAACATGTACCAGCAGGCTACAAATCCGACATGTATTGACCCGCTCTATGTATGCTCTGTATACGTTCTGTTCCATCTGTTCATGTCCGTAATGATGATATGATTGCGCTTACTGTATGTGTGGAAGGAATGCAATCATTTTCCAGATTGGAGATAGAATACAGCTAGAGACAAGGAGTGTATAGTTGCTATCAGACTCCAAGTGGCCTTGCTCTAGCGTTGACATGCGAGTATGCGCATCACGATGCAATCAGCGAAGCTCAGATGATTAGATGCAGCCTAGTACTACCTGAATCTCAGATTGACAAGAGACAGTTATGTACCATTAATAAGCTTTGGAACAAATGGAAACACTGGATTTCTTGTTTCCAATTTTTACCTACTGGCAGAAGCCTTTGCATACGGCTTTGACGAAAGTTTGCAAGCTTGAGTAGCGTTATTTACAAGAAGGTGCACTTGCTCAGATATTTTCTACAATCTGATTCTCTCAAGCTTAAAACGAGGTTTCGTAACATTAATTTTAATTTATGGATTTTTACTGAGAAAAATGTGGACGATTTCCTCGAATCTTCTTCTGTAAGGAGAGAGCTCGAGGGTCGACTGCTAATTCAACGGTACATTCATCTGTGTGGATATAAAGTACATGCATCCGTCCTGGTACGGAAGTGTCCTGCTTATAAGCTATTTCTACTCATGCTCAAAGTTTTAACCTTCCCATGATGTGTTTTTGTTACGTTCATCTTGAGCTGCTTGTGAGACTCTCTTCATCTGGGTTTACCATCGAACATGGCGTAGAAACGGTAAGTTCTCGACTGGTGCTTTCTCTGATTTAGGTCAGATAAGAACTTGTCAAATTTGTGGATGTCCACAACTTTCTTTTAAAAGTTCTGAGCTCCACTAAGCTGGGAAAGGAAGGTTCGATTCCAAACTACAATCTTCTGCTCTAGAGGATTTGAAAACCTTCGTGATGTGTACTGTAACCGTGAGAATCGTTGAAGTTTCTATGGGCTCAAACATGTAATTCACCTTCAATTTTTACATCGGCATCCCTCAGATGCTTTTTCTCTGGTATCAAGTCTTTGCTTCTGCTTGTATGCCCGAGAACTGTTGCTTACTATATCCAGCCTAACAGGTTTAGACAGTTAGCTAGGCAGGATGTTTTCGAAGGTCACTTAACTTTATTAGCCATCTTGGCCACTTTTGTGTCCAATTCGTGCAATTTGTGTCATAGCTTCGCAGGCTTCGAATCCGTGGACTTTCATCTGTTTTTTGGACTTAGAGTAGGAGCACGATTTCAAAATTGTGGGAAGAAGGGCTGCACCATGTTCATGATAACGTAGAGAGGTAAAATGAAACCATGTGGGGAGGTTCTATCTTCTATGTCACCGCACACATTGAGGATGTAAGCCAATCAGTCGTAAAACTCTCAGCATTACTCACAAGCACTTTGATCAGCCATTCCCTTTAGTGACAGCTGCATGTTTGCAGAACTAATCCCGGGGAAAATGATAAACTACTGGAAAACGTTCCCTCCGCTGCATTGACATTTTGTGTTCACGTTGAGCAGAGAGTTGGAATCCCGCTGCAAGCAAGTGCAACGTCGATTCTCCACAGCAATCGTAAAAGCTCATGTCTTGTCCCACTTCTAGATTGCTTTGCAATGTCCAGAAGAGAAGGATGCTGACTGCTCTCAAAGCGAAGGTGGTCGCTTACAATCGCGTCTTTTTCTAGTTTGAAATAAGTGTGTAAGGTCATTACCGTATACAGTGATCATATCTGGAAAAGCCGAAACTTTTTCATGAAGCCAGATGCAGCTCAAGCGGGGCCATGTCTAAGTTACTCCAGATCTCAGAGGCCAGCAAGAACCAAGTGAACCGAAACTATACAGATCCATAACTAAAGTGGGATTAGGAGCGATCCCCTATCTCGTCTTCTGAATCTGTCCACATTTAGGCTTTACTACTCACGATGTATGCACTGCAAGATTTTCACCTCACGAAGCTCGAGAGAATTCATATTCCCATTGCAGATCGCACCTTGGCAGCACCTTATCTCCGTTGTAAGCATGCAAATCTACAGGTCGTAAGACTTGTAGATCAAGGCAATACCGGCTAGAACCGTCCCCACTACTATGCATAATTGCAGAGTTTTTACTCACAGATAGGAAGTCTGCTTTGTAGAGGGCTTTATACTTGTGTGTCGTGTTGCCAGCGGGGTCCTATATAAGAGGCTTGACAACTGACCTTGGATATCATCATCGAGTTGAAATCAACAGACAGGCTTCAGCCATAGCTCACACAAAGTGTAACACTTGACTCGTAGACATGGGGCGCATTGAATGCAAGACTCTTGTGATGATAGCTCCGGTGAGCGTTCTCACTCTGCAGCTGTGGGCTTCTGTCGAATTTCATGGACATAAACATGACGAGCTCGATTTTAAGGCCTTGAGAGGCTACGGACTTGAGGACTTGTCGGATACAAATTTTTCTCTAGTCTGAGGTACTTTGACCTCTTCATAAGATATTAAAGCCGGTTCTGTATTCATACGCAGATTTCACGAGACCGGAAAGTGAACAATTGAAAACGAATGAAACATTGTCATCATGTCAATGATAAACCAACGTCCAGGGTCATGTATTATGAATTGAAGAATAAAGTCTTACGAATTTCAAATTATATCAATCACAGTTGGATCTGAATCTATTTAAGATTGAGTAATCTGATATATGTGGTTGTCTTGGTTCACAGAGTACACTATAGTATTCACTCTTTTGTAACTTTGAACCCGACTGCGTTGCAGCTCTGAGTACTCATGGGCTGAGCTTTGGAGTTCATGTGCGTATTTTTTTGTCTATTATCTTGCTTGCCCTCTGAAGGACTAGGCACGGGCATTTGAATCCCAATCACGTAGGAATATTGTTGGAGATCTTCGTATACAGTCTTTCCTCTTGCATTTTCACCGTGATATGTATACTGCTAAACTTCGGAATACTAGCTAGTGAATTTTCTTAAGTTCTCCTGCAAATATAACTCATATAAGCGAATATTCTATAATATTCTATATATATTATATAAGAGAATATTCAGAAATTTCTTCCCGGCTGTAGAAGCTCAGATTGCTAAACTGAAACCAGTGAATCTGGAAGGTCTTCTACTGAAAAATTCAGGTCATGATCTGTTTTACCTTCTTGAGTGGACCGCAATATTATTATCTTACTGACAGTTCATCATTCCTTACAAGACAGGCAACCTAAAGTTGTCCGCTGCGACGAAGGACGTATGATATTATGCACGAGTGCTCTTGCGACGAGCTTCAAGATCTTCAGCTTTATAACTTTGTCAAGTGATGAATACAACGAGACATTCTTACAGCCTAAGACACGATTATCTACTACGTTAAGACTAGAAAACGACAACAGTTCATGACACCGGCTTATGATTGTCCATAATGATATGTCTACTCATTGTTCATGCAGTCATAGTAGCTTTAACAGGTTGGACTCCACTGCCAAACGGGTATGTAACTCTCCATGTCAAGCCAGGGGAAGCTTCACGGAGCTTACGAACACTGAGGATTCTGCGCACTATATCCACGCACTTGCGCCTCTAAATTTAGCGTCTGCTTCATCATTGTGTTTAGGTCGCAGACAGCACGTGAAGTGCGATGCAAATAAACACAATATGCGTTGTCGGTTGGTGATTCGCGGCGTGCCCTCTGTAGCTTCATGTCATTGCTTCAAGCTGTAAACCAAGGAGTGAAGATGAAGTGGGAATTTGCGGGAATTCGAAAAGTGAACCAAATCATTCTCATCTCCAGAAGCACATTCTCAAGCTGCTCATGTCATCCTCATCGTGGTGGCTCGCCAGATCAGGATCTCATGCCATGACGACGTCGAGACGCTAATCTGCTTTGGAGTGAGCGTTGTTTGTCTTAAGCCGAGGCAGTTTGTGGTGCGGCTAAACTCGATCGACAGGAACCTCTGCCACACAGTCCACCAGAAGCCTGAGAGATGGACGCATCAGCGAGACTTGCTGCAGAATGTGGACCCCCGAAAGATTCTTCTCATTTGACACGTCTGGAAACTGCACCACTTGACAGAGATCAATCTAAATGCCATCCAGGTTCCCAATTTTACATGACGAAGGCTTGCTGTCTGCATGAAACCATGATATTCGCACTCAGAATCACATCCTCATATAAGCTCTCATGCCGCCAGTAGATTAGCATGGTGGGCTGGCCGGTCGCCGTGACCTACACCACGGCATCAAATATTATCAATATGAAATGTATCACTATTACAGTTTCATCGAACTTCGCCAACATGGGTTTATGATCGAACCTTCGAATTTCGTGCTAGTGGAGGCCCAAGAGGGGCTGCCGTCACATCACTTCAGGAATCACATGTCCTAGGCACATGGGCTTTAAAAGAATTTTGGCCCGAGTTTTGCCACCATTTGACATTGCTAATCGCATCCGGCCGCCTCATACTCAACTCAAACTGAACCTCAACTTGGGAGGCGCATTACATGGAGGAGGTTGATACTCAGAATATTCCAAAGTGCTGGTCGGTCGAGTCCACTTGAGCAGTGCGTTTCTGTTAAACTGCGCATCGTCTGCTGAATGTACTTGTTCAAGTGCAGTCAATCCAGTACAGATAGTGAAGCATCGGCAATTGAGAGTCCGAGATATATGACAGATTCAAGAGATCGGAGAGACGAAGAACGGGAGGAAAGATGGCAAACTTCGTGAGCTTTCCTACAACCATGAGCGGGAAGACGAAGGTGGCCATGACTCTGGCGAGGATGGCATCGGTCGAAAGGTTAGTGATAGCGAGGATGATCGATACCATGACGAGAATGGTCCAGACTATGAGAAAGACGGCCATGACCGTGGCTAAGGTGACCACCAGGTCCGAGAAGATTTCGAAGGCTACAGAGGCGACCATGACGCTGACTTCCAGGAATGTGAATCCACGAGTTTCAGGGAGAGAAAGCTACGCAGGTGCGAATCAACCAAGTAAAAGTGGCCGGCAGCAAAACTTCTGCGTCTTCGGATTCCCAATCCGAGAAGCTCCGGAGAAACTGTATTCTTTCAGACGCTCCGAACCTTCCATCTTCATGAGACGCATGTTCCTAAGTCTTCCACGACGGCGAAATGGGATCTTACTTCGTGCATCAGTTTGAACTCCCAGTCATATCATTTCCTCCTGATGAACTATAGATTGATTAGAATCACGATTTCCTTCGGGACCCGTAATTTCTTATCTAGTTGAACCTTTTGACCCTTTCCATGTCGTTCCAGTCCAGCGCCTAGAAAACTTGTACTTGGTCTTCTATCAAACCTCCATCCTCCTGCATCCTGTGTACGGGTCCTTGGAGGAGCGGAGTTCATCTAATGAACAGGTAAGATGAGATTTTTTGTAATTAGCTCTACTGTTAGCTCTAGTGACCCTCTCCCGCATCATGCTAACTACTCCAAGTAGCAGTTCAGTAGTGAAGATCTAGTATATGATCTCCATACATGGTCTTGTGAGCTGTGATTTTCACACACAGAAATCTGGGAAAGGAACTGTCGAAATATGGAAATCGATCTATTTCCATGTTACCTCCCCGATGCTTGCGAGGACATTTGTTAGGGACATTTGTTGCGAGGACATTTGCTTCACTGATGTAATGCGCTTCACTGATGTAATGATGATGAGATTCACCTGCACTATTGTCACCATGAGCTAGTAGGTTTCGAACCTTCTTGCTGATATGTTTGAAGAAATACATTCATATAATGATGTGTTTAGGCTCAAAATGATTCCAAACAAACCATTGATGAACAATAGACACCATGTGGTTTTAGTGCTGACGCATTACTCTCACTGTTGTCAATGCTGGGGCTCTTGTTAAACTGACTGGAGGCAGATGAGTAAATTGTGCATGCAAATCGGAATGAAATTTTGCTGCGCACGGTTTATTACAGCTCATCAATTCGTATTCAGAGTTAGAAACAAGAGAGTTTCAGCAGCATGGGGACCAGATAGAATAGCTTGTACAATTAGAAGACTAGATGGCTCACAATCCAACATTCCATAATTGTGAACAATACATCCTACCAGTGACCGATCTGGGTGAGGAGAGACCATGTCAATATGTGAGTACTGCAATCATAGTGATCTATCTTCGCTATCTGCAGCTTCACAGCGACCTGTCTTCGCTACCCTCTACGTTTCTTCTGCTTTATTCTTCATCTGATATCAGAGAAATCGATTTGGATCATCATCATTCCTCAGAATTTAGTAGGTTGAGGGTCCAGGACGATCATTCCGGTGTCAAGGGATTTCTGTATGTGATAGGTGAAACCTTTTGAACAGATTAAGAGAAAGTTACATTACCATACTTGCTCTTTTGAACTGAACTCGATAGACAAGATGCTTTTGCTTCTTGAGTCAACTTCACCATGGTTTGATATGACACTTATGGTAAATCAGACTACCCAAAGTACTATGTTCCTGTTCATGTCAAAGTGTCACAAACTCACATTTGGAGAAACTACGATCTGCAGAAAGCATAACTGCGTCACGGTATAGGCACAGCATTAAAGGGAGAATATTCCAACGATTGATTCTGAGTACTTTCTCCGTTCTTGCTCCACGTAATATCACCCTTTTTTTTTCTTCTTCATTTTTTTAATGTTTTCTCACTTTTAGCGTAACTTCCTCTCCGGTGCCTCCATTCCAAACTGGAAACTAAGGTTTGAGTCATATAGTTCACAGTTTGACTTATCTAAACTGTTAAAGCTTCTTATCTGCAATTTTGTAACAATAACCATGTACAAAATACCTCGTATATTTATTACTTTAAAGTTGGAGAGCCAAGCGATTCAGCACTGCTAGAGGTACTTAAGCGCATCCACAATTCTTTTTTCACTAATTTTAAACAATCGAGATTTGACGAGGATTGTCAAGTGATAGTTACCAAAACTCAAGTCTACAGGTTGTGACATCTCACAATTAGAGATAATAAAAATATAAGAATAGAGAGAGTTATTTAAAGCTTTTCATCTGTATAATGATGTGATTGCGTAATATATCCATTTACAAGACATGGTTTACGAATGCCACTTCACAACTCAAATTTCTCTTCCACGCATAAATTCCTAGAAACTCATGCGCGCCTGTCTAGATCATTACAAATATAGCCCATTGCAATCCAGGTTGAGGCGTTTCCTTGAGATACCTTCTTCAGCTCCCGATCGCTTCTTGATAACACTCATCTCACAAGCAGCTTATCGCAATCCAGGTTGACGTAATTTGTTGATACACCCTCTTCACCTCCCGGTTCAACAATAAACCACTTCTAAAAGAAAAAACGTTTTTTCTTTTAGAAAAAAGAATAAAGTAGACTTTCCTTCTCCTATAAACACTACTTCAAAAGGTTACTCCGGTTCTTCCTATCGATACTTACCATTGACTTTGATCGTGATTGTGGTTGTTTGACTTTCCAGACGGACGCACCGTCTACTCTCTCCAATGGCTTCAACTCACCAAACTATTTGTTCCCCAATTGACAAATTCTCGATCCATAATCCTATACATCTCGCGAGCTCCACGATAGTCTCCATGATCTCCCTTTTTACTTCCAACATTTGCAATTCCGCGTCATCACACCAGTTCACTTGAACATAATCACAAAAAGATTGTTAGAACTATACTTGGTATAGAGGTTTTATGATAGTGAACAGTTTGATACAAAACAACTTCTTCTCTATCGACATAAAACATACTTTGGCTTCTTTCACTCAACAGCGCTCTTCGAGGGATGTATTTTTCTTAACTTCTACTTGTCCATTTGTCTTTTTTGTACCTTCAACTTAGCATTCCCTTTCTTCAATTCACGGAGCTCGTTAGGCATATCCTTCGCACGTGTAATACTTGTTACATGGTCCAAACCATCTTCACAAAATGTACTTCCATAAGTGCTTCTCACCTAAAAATATAAGATTTTCCGACTTATTGTAATCATTAAAAGATTAGGTACAGAACAGCCTAATGTACGTTGTTATTTGCTCCCCTTGTTCCTGAGTTTCATCTTCGGCATTGAATATTATAATCTTGGTCTAAGGGCCATAATGATTCTTTTTTATCTTTTATGGTAGATCTTAAAATTGGTATTAATGTTGATTATCACTCCGGTTTTATAAAGCTCATTATGAATGTAAATTGACAATATATTTTCAAACTCATCTAAAGTTAAACATTTTTTTACATTTTATCTACGCTCACCAATATATGTCACTTTTCATGAACATTAAATGTAGTTTTGAAAATCACATAGCATTATAGATTTGTATCAATGAATACTCTTACTTACTTCCATGAAGTTTAGAATTAGTAAATATCACTCATCCAATAAGGAAAAACACTTTGTCACATATCATTGGCTTATTTGAACTTGCTAGTAGTTCATGCATCCCTATGCTGAGTTGGTTACGTCCATCAGAGGTTGTAAACTTGAAAAGAAGTAATTAAATACATTATTTCTTCATGGAAAATAGTCAACTCCGTACAAACAATTATGTTAATTAGAACATTGTGTTAAATAATCCTTTGTTTTAGAGCTGGAAATTATTATTTTTTCCATGTATTTTAGTTAAGCTGATTATGGCAATTTTGGTTACATATTTTTCATCATCATAAACTTCTGAAGAAAAAGCAAAAATGTTACAAAAATGTTACAATGAGTCTATTTAGACTATGCATTATAGTTTTGGACAAATGTGTAACAATACCACTCAAAACATTAACCCAAAAGTCAAAGATTTCAAGGTTCATCTTAAAGTATTAAGCATGTAGAAGAAAACAAAACAAGTTATAACAAAAATTCCAAGTTTTGTTTCTCTAGACATATATGATTCAAAGAAAGTAAAAATTCATCTAGTTGATGTGATGAATTTGTCAAATCAAAAAATTCACACAAAAATTTTAAAACATCTATGATTTTTTTTAAAAAAAATTATTAAAATGATACGTCAATTTAAGAATAAAAAATAGACAAGGTCACACTCTCTTTCAATCCCTACACTTCTTATTTTGTCTAGATGAAAAAATTATTTGATCTTTTTTTGCTAATGAAAATAAAAAATAACTGATTGATAGATGTTTTTTGTGATTAAATTTCTTCTAAACACAAGCAAGATAAATTATTATATGTTGGCAATGTAGGATTTTGACTATCTACAATTAGTGATTTTGATTTTGATTTGATTTCCAATTTTTGCTCATTTGAATTCAAAGAACAAAACTAATGAAATACAAATCTCTACAGCTCAGACTCTCCAACATTAAGTAAAACAAGTTAATATCAATAATTCATCATCATGATGATATAACAATCTGCGATAGCTATCCGAGCATGTTAGTTGCACTTACGTGACGTCTCATATTTGCAGTTCTGTCACTTATCAATTCAAGATTTGACCTCATTGCACTATGTGTTCAATGTGTGCCACGTGTCGATGCCTTGTGCTTTATTGTGTCAAATTTTTGGATAGTTTTGAATTTGAAAACGCATATTCATCAAGTCATCCGGCTCCAAAACATCAAATTCAACGAACAAATCTAATGATATACAAATCTCTACATCTTAGTCTCTCCAACGTAAATTCAGGCAAGTTAATGTCAATGATACATCATCCTCATGATATAATAGAGTGTGTTGACTATCCGAGGGTGTCATTCATGTCTTTGTGACGTCTTGCACATGCGGCCCTAAAAAGTGTCAACTCAAAATTTAATCAAACTACTCATATAAAAATTTTACAACTAAGGCTTCCCAACGTAAAATCATGCAAGTTAATATCATTGAAACATCATCATCATGATATAACAGCTTACGTGATATGCTCGAGAGTGCTACATGCGCCTACATGGCGTCTCGCATGTGCAGTTATGCCCAAGTGTAAACTTGAAATTTGACCTCACAACACTGTGGGTCCAATGCGTGTCAAGTGTTAATCACTTGTTGGTGTCTTGAGCATTGTTGTGTCAAACTTCACGATCGTGTTGAATTCAAAGGCATCTATTTAGCAAGTTCTTAGACTCCAAAACGTTGACTTCAACAAACAAAACTACTCATATACAAATCTTTGCAGCTCATTCTCTCCAACATAAAGTTAGACAAGTTTATACTGATGATACATCATTATCATGATATAATTACGTGCATGGCTTGCCCGAGCATGCTAATCTTGTCTAGGTGACGTCTTGCAGATTCAATTCTGTCATGTGTCAATTTGAGATTTGATCAAACCAATGATATACAAATCTCTGTAGCTCAAGCTCTGCAACATAAAGTCAAGAAAGTTAATATCAATGATACATCATCATCATGATATAACAGCTTGTGTGATCTAGCCAAGTGTGCTAGCCGTGCCAACGTGATGTTTCACACGTGCAGTTTTGCCACGTGTTAACTTGAGATTTGACTAAACTACTAATATACAAAACTCTGCAGCTCAGTCTCTCTAACATAAAATCATGCAAGTTAATATTGATGATACATCATCATCATGATATAAATGACTGCTTGGACTATCCGAGCGTATTATCCGCGTCTACGTGATGTCTCGCACATGCGGTTCTGCCACATGTCAACTCAAGATTTGAACTCACTGCACCGTGCATCTAATGAGTGCCACTCATTAGATGCACGGTGCAGTGAATCTAATGAGTGCCACATGTTGATGTCTTGAGTGTTTTTGTGTCAAAATTCCAGATAGTGTTGAATTAGAAAGCGTCTATTCTTCAAATCATATGGCTCATAACTTTCTCGGGAATTAATTAATTTTCAAGTCCATTTTGCCTTCTGTTTTTTGTAGTTTTCAAGGTGTTATGATCAAATTTTCTTAGTGAAAACAAATCACTATCTCATTACTCATGAGTTTATATAACAACTTATAATAAAACTTATCTTGTACTTATATACGTATACAAGATTTTGTTAAAAACTAGACATATGAATAATTTGTCTAGTATCTAACAAATTATTTCCTCAATTTAGAAAGTTTTCTGAACAATAATGTATCAATTTTATTCAATTCCTGTGTACAGAGTGATCTAAAAACTTGGATGTCCTTTGCAATCAATTACGTCTCATATTGTTGAGCCTTTCTTGCTAGGAACATATTGATCTCAACTCCATGCAAGAACCTGAACAACTACTTCTTGCAAATGAAGCAAACGTTTTGCAATCCAAATGAGATTTATAACTTCCTGTACATGCTTATAGCTAGGTATGGGCACGTAGCCGGCTAACTTTCGGCTAGCCGGCTTGGCCTCAAATTTAGCCGGCTAGCCGTCGGCTAATCGCCTCTCGCCCCAAAATGCAATCAATCGAAATATTCATCCGAAATAAATGTTTATTGGGTAATTTCGGTCGTAGCTGAGGAAATAATTGGTCGAAAGCAGAAAAGGTCCGAGTTTACGGTTCGTTTTCGGCCTCGTGTAGAGGTGGCAATATTTATCAGCTAGCCGTCGGCTAACCGTCTAACAAAAAATATTAGCCGGGTAGTTGTCAGCCGAGCCGTGCCCATCCCTACTTATAGCTATCCTCATTTGGTCCAAAATGTACACTTATTGTACTACAATCAAGCGCTTTTGCGTAGATACCAATCTTCTTCATAAGAACTAGGTATTTCATCCAATTCATAATTTGGTTATTGGCCGGTTGTTTTCTGAGGTTTTAATAATTTCACATCATGGTAATGATAAATCTCAATATCATAATTGACTTGTAGGAAGCAAAATTCTTTTTTATCCAAAAAGTGCTCAATCTTCCCTCAACCCTCACTATCCACAATACTTCTTCGATTCAATCCTTCCAAAACACAAGTTCATCCATATTCATATTCATGTTGCTGAATTATTCTTTTCATTGAAATGATAATCATAAGACTTCATAATAAATTTCTGTCATTTTCTCGAACACATACTTAACATAAGCAACCCTGAAAGCATGAGGATTCGGGATTTAGGGAATCTATTTCCCCACTTCTATCTCACAAAAACAAGTTCTATGATAAAAAATATTTCTATTGAGGTAGTGACTATTATACTAAAACCTTCCATACAATACATAACATTTTCCGTCTTCAGGAAGAGCTTGCCTACTAAAGATTGATAGGACAATCATGCGTAAATAAGCAAGACCTAAGAGTTGAGGGTGGTATCCAGCACAAATACTGGAAAATCTCTAAGCTAATTCATAGGGTCTCATCATCATCACTTCTGTATGGAACGAATGAACTACTCTTACTTAAAACTCTAGCTTAACGAGCTACCAACCTTTGACCGAACGATATGTACAAGTGGGATAAAATCCAACAACTGATTGATTCTGAACAATTTCCATTACATTTCCCCCGTGATAAGCAGGTTCATAATTCTGATAACTGTATTTAATTTAATCTTGACTTCATCAATCCAAACCCTACCTTTTGCTTACCACTTTCTCGTTTCTCTTTTTGACATGTTCGTCGGTGTTCGCTAACTTTCAACTGCCACCAGGCAGTGTTCTCTCTTTGAAGCAGGTCACAACTCTGGTATGAATCAACCTTCACGGTGAATCCATAACACAATAGAGTCACCGTAGGGCCAGCCGACCGGAAGTGGACGCAGCCAGGAGGACGCAACAAATGAAGAAACTGGTGTACGAGGAGGAGTAATGATCCTGGTCCCCACATGGTCCGTGATTTGAGCTCCAAGATTTGGAGTTACGTGTCTTGGTCCCACGTTTGTTGTTTGTCCTGACCTCATACGTAGGAAGTAAGTCCGATATCCGCTTGAGGTTGGTCCCACGCAGTTCCACACCAATGCAAATTTAGAGGTGGGAAGTCGGTTTGAAATTTCAGAAAGTCGATAGATTTAGCTCTTCAACGTAAGCAATCTAGTCTCCTGCATCCGTTCCCCAATTTTAATTTCTTTCCACCGTTGCTATTCGCCTCCATTTGAAACTCCTCATGGAGCACTTCACTCATGTAATGAAATGTAAACTTCACAACATGAAATGCAAGTACAGTTGACACCCAATTTTCTTTCATATTCTTTGGAATGGACGTGGGTGAACGGCATATCATTCACATGCCGATGAATAATAGTTTCCTTCGTGGGGGAGGGAGGCCTGTAACTGCGGATTTCGATCGAAGATGAGAATCGCGGTGCATTCATGTGTTCCGGTTTGAGCCATAACTAAACCCTCCACCACGGTGATGGGCTCGAACACAGGTCCTACTCAGGGTTCGGGGCGGGTGGGTCAGGAGGCCGGCTAAGTATGGCGGTCGCTAACTAAGAGTGGCGGAGCAAGGGAAGGGAAGGGAGGCAGTGCCATGTACCGAGCGAGAGGCAGGCGGGCCTAAAGCAAACACGGCACAACGACAAGAGCGACCGACAGGCATCCATCCATCTGCATCCATCCGTCCATCCATCGGCTGCTGCTGCTCGGGGAACGCGAGCTCTGCCCGCCCGGCCCGATGCCAGGCGGTCCTGGCCCGCAGCCCGACCTCCCGCTTCGACCAGGGAGGGCCGCCGCGCTCCAGCTCGCCCTGAACCCTGAATACTTAGTTGCGTCGCGAGAGGATTGTCGAAAGTTTCAATCTTCCACAGAGTAAAATTCGCAACAACATGCCGAAGAAGAAGAGGGGAGACCCAAACATGCTCACACTTTTGTGAAAGGAGGAGAAAATAAATACAGAGTACAAGTTCCCTGCGGGGAAGAGAGGCCTCGAGGGAGGAGCACGATGGTCGAGCGGGAGCGGGAGCGGGAGGGCCCTCCCTGGTCGAAGCGGGAGGTCGGGCTGCGGGCCAGGCGGTCCCTGGCATCGGGCCCGGGCGGGCAGAGCTCGCGTCCCCGCGAAAGTGGGGAGCCCTGATGAGGGCTGCTGCTGAAGGAGCTGGAAGGCTCATATGTGCGTTAGACACTGCTGTGCGAGTGCATGGGGACTTGTTTGTCACTCTCAAGCGTGTTAGGAGCTTTTGCATTAAAACCTTACATTTTGAACTGGAGTTGCTTGCATCAATAAATTCTTCAAGAATTGACTCATACAATTTTGTCATGATGAACATTGTGTCATTGCAGACGTGTAGACGAAATCTCCTTGATCACAATCTCTTGCAATGAATAGTTGGTCTCAAAAGACCACTTTAGGGATTCGACGTAAGTTATTTAACAGGCTCGAAGCATAAGCTTGAATTTACAAAGGCGGATTCTCCTCAAGAAGAACCAAAGAGCTAACTGGACGATCTACTCTTGCATTTCCATATCTACAAATTCTCAAAAACTACTTCTGAGAAATAAATTCGTCCTCGTTCGACCCGTGAGGATGCTTGATCACAACCTCGACCGCCCCAGGGCTCACAAATGAGGGCTGGAATGCCCAGACTCCATTTGAAGCAGAAGGCCCCACACGGAGTCTGGGCATTCCAGCCCTCATTCGTGAACCCTGTGAAGTAGAAGGCCCCAGGCTCACATTTCTGTCGTGAACAATCTTCCAGTTGCACAATAAGGTCCAAGAGTCATCGACCTCGGCGTAGCGCACCATCGGGGAAGTCAAAGGGAAGTCGTCTCGAGAACGGGCGGCGGGATTGGGATCCCTTGACAAGTCAAACGATTGCGCTTCCAGAAGAAAAAAAACTTCGTCCCTGGCTCCTACGCACCAGCTGAGTTTGAACTCCTGCGTACCTTCGATCTGCAAGGGGAGGATCACGTCGAGCACCCGATTCATAGGCATCGCCTTCTCTTGCAGGTACAACCGCCGGCCCTCAGTCGAGTCCAAATTCGAAGGTCCCGTATCGAGAATCTCAAAGTAACAAAAAGGCTTGTTCGAAAGTCTGCGTCCTCGTTTTCCAACCACGATGATCTCGCCGTTATGCTCCATACATCTCACATAAGTCGTCCTCTCGTCTAACATATTCAGCGCAGTCCTTTGGTTAGACATCCTGCAAAACACATAGCTCCAAGTGTCGAGACTCGCATCGTATATGTACACCAAGTCCAGAGTTGGCCCTTCCGTTTGACTCACCAACCAGTAGAATTTTCCCTCCTTCGTCAGACATTGAGTCGTGTATCCGCTGTAACGCATATAAGGCTCTGCAAATCCATCGAGCCTCCTGATAGATGAGGGTAATTTACAACCTAGCCGCCATGAGAGTAATCTCGAGTCGTAGAGGTAAGTTTCGCCAGAACGAGGATCTAAAAACACGAACCTATAAAACCCTGTCTCGAGATTCGCATCGATTCCGCACAACAGATTGCCTGAGTTAGGGATTGTGAGACAGAAACGTGAACCAGACTCAAATGGCGTCAGCAATTTAAGGTGTTGTCGCGTTAAAGGGTTGTAGATAACGAACGACGTCTTCAGATCCCTGAGGTTCTTGGCGAGAAAGCAAAGCAGACCTCCACCAGACGCCACCAGCTGGACCTGATGATATTTCAACGACAGAACATGATGTAGATCGCATTGTAGCCACGAATTAGTGCTGGAATTGTACATGGTGAGAGCTCCATCGTCCAGATACAGCGGAACCAGCTTCCCTGGCTTGTGGCAAAACGAGTGTGAAAATTCCCACGTCATTAACAGAGCGTTCCAAGCTTTGCATACACAACGAAATCTCATCACTTCCTTCAAAGGCAGCCTGCCCAGCACATTGTGGAGAAGATCATCCGGCAATGGGCACCCCATGGACCTGACGTCTGTTCTGCTTGTTGCAAGCTTCATACAAAATCGCACTCGACTATGCCTCGAGAATAACGAGAAATGCAAAGGATCTTCGTAATACGTGAACAGGCACTACTGGGCAGTCACTCAATTCAAATTGGGTGAACAGATCGAGTCCACAAAGCTTGCAACATGTGAACAGGCACTACTGGGCAGTCACTCAATTCAAATTGGGTGAACAGATCGAGCCCACAAAGCTTGCAACATGAGAACAGATTCACGAGGATAAAGTCGGTCTTCTGCTCTGGAAAGTAAGTTTCGGTGAACTTATGCCCCTGCTCCCAGAGTCAATGGCTCCTCTCACATGGACGTGGACACGAGTCACGGTGTCACCGACACCTCGGGTTAAGACAGGTGTCTGGCATGGAGATGAACAAGAGGAAGCATGGAGGATCGGGTTACAGTCTGCGCTGGATAAGGGCAAGTCATATGTTTGACAGATTTCACTTTCACTTGTAGACGTATATCGGTCATACCAGTTTTCCAAACTTGCACATGAGTTGATGTTTGATGTTTTGGACAATGACATGAAATAGTTGAGGTACCTCATTAGCAGCATTTCACCATGACACTAATGGTATCCTGTACTGTTTAGAGATCAATCCACTATACATAAAGACAGCGAATGTTCTCACGTTTGAACTAGGACACAAAATCCATTTAATTTTATTCGATATACATGTATTTATATTTAAGATATTCGTGTGCAGAAAATTGATATATTAATAGCCATATTATCCGAATTCTCATTTTTCAAATTTTTGAAACCTAGCATTTGTATTGCTTTACATAAATTATTAACTTGTCTGTCAAAGTAAGTATTAAATCATACTGGATTAATCGTACAAATCAATAATATTCAAAACACTCATTTTATCTATAATTGGTTTGAGTTATACATGCCGTATAATTCTATAGAAATAAATAAATAACACATATTTAAATTCCACACGGCAAGTATATAGTTCAGTTTTACATTATATATCTTTTTTTTCTTTCAATATTTTCTTTTAATTCAATTTAGAAGAAAACAAAGAAACTTAATTCAAATTTTAAAATCATGTCATAAAGGTATACTATCGGCTATTTGATATAGTGGAGTTTTATCTAAATAGAGGAAACCAAAATTTAAATCAACGATCTATCACGATTTATGGGGAAAAAGCTCCATGGTATCTTCTCATGATTTTTGCTATATTACGCAATTCTACTATCATATGATAAAATATCATATGTTCTCAGTTGGCTGAGGATGCACGACTATCATATGATAAAATATCATATGTTCTCAGTTGGTTGAGGATGCACGACTGTCACACACTTGATGTTTTCGAAATAAAACTAAGTTACACAAGAGTGACAAGATTGGCTTGTTGATAAAGTGAGGTTTGTACAACGATAGAACTTGCCAATGGATGTTATATCGTTGCTGATTCATCAACAGCTCGCATCCTTATAGGCTTAAAAAAAAGTCCTTCCATATCTCAGCCGAAGAATTTATAAATTTTTATAATTGTAAAACATATTTATTCAAATATTGTTCAAACTTCTTAGTAAACATTAACATCTCATCTTAGCATCTCGTCGCAGAACCGTTTTTATGGTCGAGTACATCAAACTCCAGATCTCGTACATCGAAGACAAGTGGAGGCTAGTAGCTGGCATACATATGTAAACGCATTTCTATTTATTTTTGATGGCGAGCTTGAATCAGTCAAAAATACGACTGCACTAGACTTATTGATCGCGCTTTAACGTAGATTACATTTCAAATGTTATCTTAACACTTCTATTTTATCTTTTACAAAAGTATAGATTCCAATAGATTAGACTTTTGACTTTAAGCTTGAATTTGATTGGTTTAACTAAATGTATGAAATATGATTAGCTAGACTAAGTCTAATGTTCACTTAGTAGTTAGGAATCTTCTAGAAGTGTTAAAGCTTCTGATGGCATGTCGCCATCTCAGCCTCGGATTCCAGAAACTTCTAGAAGGTTTAGGTAGACCAATGGCATGTTGCCATGTATAGTGGATTAATCAAACTTACATAGAGAAAAGTGAGTTAAGAGAAATTACCTCATGTTACTGTGATAATTTCTCAAATAGTATATATAGAGAGTTACAGGAGTATCTCTCAAGCAAGTTATGGAGAGTTCATATGTAGAGACTTGTTTCATATATGAAAGAGTGACGATTTCAGTATCTTGGAGTGTTGATGTGTGGGTGAGTTGGAGTGATACATTGAGGGAGTGTGTGAGAGGATGTTTGAGCTATGAGTATGAGCAGGAATCTTGGTCTTCTAGAACCATACTAAGCCACCGCAAAGCCATCTGAAGTATACCTGAGTGAGAGTCAACCCAGAGGTTGCAGTCCGGTCCCCAACATCTTGCGGCCGGAAACAATATTCACCCTAATCATCGAATGTTACTCGCCGGCCATGACCATTACTTTTCTTGTTGTTATTAGTTCAAAAATTTTCTCTCTCTTTGTTGAACGATGTCAGAGTTTGTGAGGACTGCCAATGCTCAGGAGGCCAACGATTGAAAATTACTCCCGGCTTGTCCATGTATCTAGACTTTTAATTTCTAGCATCCACTGGACAAATCGAGAAATATGTCATTCTTGCCCACATTGAAAAAAGCTGCTCCAATCATCTAGTACAACACGCCCTTGATCATATGGTTGTTGACCTAGTCGAGGTCATTCTGGGCCAAAACAAGTGGTGTCATTCCACCCTCTTTACATATGGTACACGAGCTAATCAATTAACTTCAAAAGCTGCACCTTAATGTAATGTGAGAGGTTTAGATCCTGAAATCAAATAAAAAATTCTATAGCATGATGATGAAAGATAACTCTCCCTCTCTTCCGGATATTCTTGCACATCCTCACAGCCCTTTAGCACTCCGGGTTTCAAATCCAAATGAAGGAATTGAACCAATTGTGCACGGAGACCTTGCAAACTCGAACTTCAACTCATAACCTAGAGCCACAAAGGACCCGAGTGGATTCTCAAGCTTCTACACAAGAACTCTAGTCATAGCCAACCAGCCAGCGAGCCTGTCCGGCCTGCCACGACAAAAATCGCAACCCGAACATCTCCAAGATACTTCGCTCTCGTGCCTTGACCTTCCCAACCGTTGCTTCAATGCATGAATTCGCCAAAATTGCCACAAAAATTCAACGCACAACTTCCAAAGAACTTGAATCACAATTTTTTAACTCTTTTAATATTAAAAAGTACATATGATCATCATTTTGTGCTCATAGTGATGTTTGGGGTCACTTGTAGTCGATGTTTGGTCTAGCATTAAAGAAGAGGGCGAGATTGCTGAATTTCTACTTGAATTCTACCGAACAAAGTTTTCTTCAGAGGGCACAAGGACGCCTTTGCTTGTTCAGAGGTGACTTTTGGGGTTGCTATATAGATTAATGCTTTGTAGTTTAGAAGGAGTTTGCCTTGGGAAATTGTACACTTGTAGCTTAGACAAAGTGCCTTAGTTTTTTCCTCATCAGCATATGATAGGTTATTTTGTAGTGTGTTCATCGTGTTTTAGTGATGTTATATTTAGGAAGACCAGCTTCCACTAAGTTTTCGTGATATCAGACTTTCCTTACGTCGTATTCGTAAAAGGTAGGCCAACAAATTGAGAGGTGTACTTTATGTTTGATTTGGTTAAATGTAGGTGGGAGGTAGCATACCAAGGAGACATTTGATGACAACAAGGTGTTACCCAATTGACAGTTGAGTGGAGTGAAGTTAAAAATAACAATGGCATTTTTAAAATAGATTTACCCTTTTGATGACGGAATTAAATATATCGTATGTAAGTTCCAATATAACATGTTTCAAGTGTTTTCTTTCCCAAGAGCATATTTTTTAGTGAATACGGTTACATGACAAGGTAATTAACATCAGATATAGTGTATTGTTGTTGATGTTTCAAAACAAATTTCTGACATACCACAATTGTTATGTAGTCTCAATGATGTGAAATTTTTCAAAGGTTAAGTTTATCTAGAACGAGCCTTGGATGGCAATGTGCATATGTATGTACATTATAATGTCAAGAGAGAGCTCAATCCAACATTTGAAATTGGCATTTGATAAGATAAAGAAGATTAAGGTAATATTTTAGTGAAATGTATATAAATAAAATGTTCTTTCAAAAGCTTTCATATCAATGCAAAGTGTAGTTTGAAGCATAGAAGAATTCTAAATTTGTTCAAAGAGATTATTATTCCGATCGAGTTATCACATGGACTTATTCTTTGTGAGTGAAGCATGTACCAACTTCTCACATCATCGCGTGAACGGATTGCATGCTGGAATCTCGATGAATACCCCTCAGCAACTTCGACTACGGGTCAGCAGCCTTGATTGCGCTAGCCTATAATGGCAAAATCAACCGTCCGAATTACGGGCCGAAACATATTCCCGGCGACTTGCCCATGTTCGGTCTGGAGTTCATGAGCTTGACGCAGAAAATGCCCCAGTCATTGTACCTGCCTCACTACGCACATTTCGACCTATCTCTGACCCTGCAACGGGTGGAGGATGTGTTTGGGACGATCACTGCGTAACTTCAAGACCAATTCGGACATGAAGAACCCTACTACTGATGAAACCAATTTATAGATCCGATATAGTCGCTGTAGTAATGGTTAGCTGTAATAGATATATGACAAGAAGGTAACTGGTGAATCAACCGCAATACGGAAGCTTTAGGAAATTTGATAAACACCGTTTCTGGTAAAATATCCTCTGAGATCTAGTAGAAATCAAGCGATCATTTCCCTATGGCGGACACGCACGTCTCATGCGTTTGGCAAACTCTCCTGCAGCGATCTTGTAAGATGCTCTAGATTGACCAAGATATTTGTAGTACCGAGTACTGATCCAGACTTGTCTTCGGAGAAATGACCAATTCTAGTCCTCCAATATCTTGAATTAGCCCACAAGTGGATATCTGGATGTTGTTTATTTCTGTGCTGGATACTTCTGTACTGGACTTGACTTTTGACACGGCTCCTCTTACGGTCTTCGAGATCACAGACTATCAAGTTCCTCAAAGGTCGTCCGATGAGCGGTGAGTGAGATGTATAGTAGAGCCCAGATGACAAGCCAAATCACAGTTAAAGAGAGGATTCCGTTATGAATTAAGAATGCTCGCCAGTGACTTCTTTCATTAAAAAGGCATCGATAAATGCTCATGTGGGTCCCGATCCTACCCATTAAAGTTTACACTCATCTCTTACGCAAGTTGAGAACTTGCGGTGGTATAAAGTGATCAGGAGCGATCGTTCAAAGCATATCTGCTACCACATCGAGGATGATGCTTACTTCCTCCTATCTGGGATCGCCATCCTTATAGCAGGACTATCTCGAAGGCGAAAGAACACTTTAGATATTCAGACCGAGTGGACTCTGCTCTCCATTTCTCCTATACAAAAAAAATTCTTCCTCGAAGTTTCTGGATCCTCGGTTTTACGATGGGTTTCGACTTGAGGCCACGATTTCTGATCTTCATTCTTGTCATCTGTCTTACAGCGTCTAGCATCATCAATGTCGCCCAGGGTCAATCCACAGCAGACCAAGACCTCACTCCTCACAAGCGTAGGAGTGAGGAGTGAGGTACTGTCAAAACCCGCGAGGTTCATCACATCGACTGCATGCCCGACCGTGGAAAACTCAGCTAAGCAAGCTAAGCTGAATCAAGGCATACCTAGCCTGACCTGGGACTCCACGCTAGAATCGTATGCTACTGACTGGGCCGCCACCAGAACAGCTGCTGGTGACGACTGCGCTCTCATACACTCTGGAGGACCTTACGGAGAGAACATTTTCTGGTCCACTGGACCGAGCCCCCCAGCGGATGCTGTGCAGTCCTGGGTCAGCGAGGAGGCATATTACGACTACGCATCAAATTCGTGCTCGGCCCCAGAGGGCGAGTCATGTGGTCATTACACGCAGGTCCCATGCAAATTCTTCTCGTCCTTTTCTCTCCTAGTGTGCGCGACGTTGTGTTTCCATGGCTTTCCGCCGTAGTTCGATTTTCAGAGATTTCTAGATCTTGCGAACTAACCACGAGCCCAGGACCTGTATCAGGATAAAGCTGTTCCCACAGATGTAAAAGATGAAGGGCTTCCCGCATACTCTGGAAACTCATGAATGACACAACAAACTCGAAGTCGATTTCTGCGGTCGGGCATGCAGTCGATGTGATGAGCCTCGCGGGTTTTGACACGGGTCGCACTCTTTGCAACAGGTCGTGTGGAGGGACACAGCGGCGCTGGGATGCGGGTCGGCCACTTGTCCGTCTGGTGCCTTGTTCGTCGTTTGCAGCTACGACCCCGCGGAAACGTTGACGGTGAGTTGCCTTACTAGACCTCCTCTACGAATAGCTGCGGCCGTCGAGCGACTCCGAGTTTCATCTTTGCTGAAGTGGTGGACATATAGTAATCAGAGTACATACATCACATGTACGTCAGTGGACGAATATCGAAGTCAAATTAGGGAGGGGGCAGGGATGAGAATATCATGGGAGGGCACTCCATCGCTCCCTGGCGTGAGGATGACAGAGAGTGCAGTGGGAATCGTGTTTTTGAATAGAGGTTATTGTGAATGCTTCTACCCTGGCAGAGTACTGACTTATATACTGTAGATGAGATTTTAAGATAGGGAGTGGCTAGTTATCCCTCACTTTGGGCTAATTAGCCCTCACCCTGGTATACGTGCAGCGAGGATTCGTCTAAAGTGGTAGGTCTCAATGGAATTAAATTGATGGTTCTTCTGAAGCATTGGTGTTCCTCTCCGTGTCAATCGTGAACCACGTCACGCTTGTCACGTATACAAGCGAGATTTATTTTTGACAGGTTGGTGGCCAGTTTTGTGTCACCTGACTTGGAACGTATCTGGAATCTCACCGCCTCCGAGAAGTAGAAAGCGCAGGCACAAGCAAAGTTGTCGAGAAGAGGGCCTTCTTCCACCTCAAAAGCTCAGCACCTCCGAACTCGAGGTTCTTGGAAGGCTAGAGGGAGCGAGTCCCCTGCATCCTGGCGAAGTAGGAAGGGAGAAAACTCAATCGCGATCGCAGCACAAGCCTCTGCCTTACATCCACAGGACTGCCAGAACCAGCAGCTGATTCCACCCGCCAGGTGAGCGGATTCATCACAGCCTTGGCCCACACGGCGGTCGCCATATTGCATCCCACGCACCGAATTCACCTGATCACATGCCAATCATAAGTCCAAAGCAGAATTTCACTCAAGTCGCCAGCTTGCTTGAGATCATTCGCCTCTAGGGTGGTGAAACTAGCAGCGCCCAGCTGGGCTGCCTCTGCAGATGACAACACCACTTCTAAGCACTCGCATCGAACCATTCCTCCGACCCAATGCTCTCAAATCCACGCAATGAGTTCTCCAATCGCCTCGCGCGTATAGCAAATTCGAGTTCAAATCGATAAATCAAATTGCATCGACCACGAGTTGCCATTACAGAATGATGCAGTCGGAGTTGCAATCGAGCTCACTCACGCGCACAGTAGTCGCACAAGGCCTCGAGAGACCAGCGGCTGCACGGGGCCCACAGCTCCAGCTTTGGCAAACGCAACGAGAGTCCTTCTCGAACCCTCCCATCCCAAGAGTCGACAGCATGGCATCCACGTCGGCCGCGTTACAACCCGTGACGCGGCTTGCCACGGAGAGGAACACGAAACACCTATAATTAGCCCCTCCGTTAATATGCGATAAATTAAGCATAACTCGAATCCCTGGTAGAGAATCGTGGTTGTAACTTGTTATCAGTCGTTGCGAGTAGCTTGAGGCTGGGAAAGAGCAAACGTAGTCTCTATTGATAGCTGAGTGGATTTCAGAAAGTTCGATCGTCATACAGATATTGGAGAAGGAATTGCGATTTATGTGAATCTTTTGTTTGGAAATGTGTATTGTTGTTCATTATAGTGGAAGTGCATGGCGTCCTTAAAATCTCTGGCAGGAAAATCATTTTTCAACTAAAACATAGACTTCCAGTTGAAAACGGACAAAGACAGGAGACCCAGTCATCTGACAATCACAGCGTTGATGCTCTCAGACATCAGCTGTTTGTAGAAGTCATCACCGTGTGCATGCACGCCGCATTATACGATCAACTTTCATGTTTCCTGCTCTGCTATGTCTGTAGTGATGGTAAAAATGTTTTAGATCCACATAAAATTGAGAATCTGATAAGATATTGATGCATTCTGTGATTTAATTTTAATATTGAGAAATATTTCTGGTGATAAAGAAAATTTGATTGGGTTCTAAGATTTTTAGTAAAAGAACTATATATATCAATCTATCATGATAACTGAAAATAATCCCACATTCAAAGTTTTTGAATGCATTGTAGTTTAAAATAAACATCAAAGATATTTGTTAAGTTGATATACTAAGTTTTCTTCATCTATGACTTTGAAACTATACTAAAATAGATTAAAATAAAATTTATTGTTAAATTATTAGTATTTAAAGTTATGTATAAATTTCACTCCAAAAAATTTGATATGATATGTATGAAAAACTTAGGAACATGATAAAAATTTATGGTGGATATTTAGCTCAAATATCTTAATGACAAGAGTTATATATATATATAGAGTTTGATTATTTTTTCGATCTCTGATGCAGAACTTTATACCAGATTTTTACTCTTGTGAGTATTTTACTTAACACGTAAAGAAATTTGAAGTAATATTAGCTCGGGTTAGTGATAGCCGCCATGATGATAAAGGTCGATTGCTTGACGTCATTGTTCTCACTTGGCTAAGAATGGACGACCTTCATACACTGTTTGTATTACAGTAGTGCTGTTTTTTTTGAAACTGAACTAATTTCACAATGGACTAAAAGTTGGTTTTCTAATAAAAGTGAGCATTCTACATAGATAGAAGTTGTAAATGAATGATTTATCTTCGGAAAGATACTGATTCATCACCTGCCTTACTCTTCATGGCTGTCGCTCAAAGCTTCATACAGAAATTTATTTCCATTTGAAGCGTTTGTGTGCCCATTTGCATGTATTTGCTTGCTCTTGCTTTTGACTGCTCTGCTGCGCGCAGCAGCCCTGCGCAGACTAGCTAGAAAAAGAAGAAAGAACGAGAGCGATGTGCCCAAGCAAAACTTTTGGTTAGGGAGGGAAAAGAGAGGAGGGGAAAGGTACAGAGAGGGAGTTGATGTAGTGGGTGAGTTGCAAGAAAGAGACGATAGTGGACCTTGCCTAGGGTTGACGAAGAGAAGGGAGCCAGGGAGGGAAGGAAGTCAGAAAGGAAGTAGTTAATAGCACAGTCGCAAAGCGAGCAGATGAACACGTATACTGTACAGCTGGAGTTGGAGCCTGCAGCAGCCGAGTGAGAGAAAAAGGCAGAAGAAAGGGGAGAAATGGGTAGAGTGGGAGCGAGAGTGTGGGAAGCATCGACAGGCAGGGGGCAGGAGAAGGAGGCGGGAAGGGGTAAGGGAAAGCAACGCAGGTGGTCAGGTCAGGTCAAGAATCGAAGGAAGGAACGTTAAATCTGGCAGGCAGGCGGGGCCAGCCCCGTCAGTCCGTCGACCAGCCCCAGCCGGATCCGAGTCCGGGTCTAGCCTCCCTCGTTTGCCTGATTGCGCTTGTTGTTGTGGCAGCACTCGGAGATAAAATCGTGCTAAGGAGCAGCGGACGAGAGAGAGAAGGCGAGGGGAGCAAAATACGCATTGGTGAAATGGAGTCATCATCAGACTTTTATCATCATGGCTGTCACTGACACTAGCTCTAATTTTATCATCATGGCTGTCACTTGCACTATCTCTAATTGCTTTTATTGCTACTACTGTGATCTCTAATTGCTTTTATTGCTACTACTGTGAGCCAAGGCATCGAGATACCGACGTAGAAGGTTTTCTCGCAGAAGGTTTTTGACTCCTGCAAATACATGCCATTACATGCATGTATTTGCAGCCCTCGAAAACGTTCTGCGAAAAAACCTTCTCAATCCTATCACAAGAGGATACTATTGCGAAGAAAATGAGGTTAGTGCTCTCAATCGCTACTTCCTACTCTGTCGGCCCTGCTCATAAGTCTTTGTAATCAGAATAGTGGCAAAAGAAAACATGAAACTTCGCTTTTGTTTGGCATGGTTTAACCATCCTCCGAATACACCTTCTAGTGTACACAAATTACACATACACCTTCCAAGTTCAGCTTTCTTCTGGTTGCAGAATCTGAATAACGGCATAGCTTCTTACACGATGCCAAATCCCAAGCGAAAGATGAATATTATTTGTGCCACTCATATGATTTTGAATACTGATGATTAGAGCCGACAGTAGTGATTGAGACCACTGATCTCATGCTTCTCGCACTGATATACTCTTGGGATAACATCACAGCAGCCAGAGTAGCAAACGAAACAATTAGAACTAGTGCTAGTGACAGCCATGATCATAAAGGACGATTGCTCGACCTCATGGTTCTCAGTTGCTGAGCATGCACGAATGTCATACGCTGGATGTTGCTGTTTTCCACTCTGACTAATTTCAGAAGAAATGCTGTATCTTCGAAAAGATACACCATTCATTCAGGCTGGTGATGAATCCGTATCTTCGAAATGATGCTGATTCATCACCAGCATGCCTCTTTATAGCTTTCACCCGAGGCTTCACACCAAAATCTCCTTCATGTTTCATTCAGGCTGGTGATGAATCAGTATATTCGAAAAGATGCTGATTTATCACCAGCATGCCTCTTTAGGGATTTCACCCGAGGCTTCACACCAAAATCTCCTTCATGTCTCAAACGCGAAATACATTGAATTTGAAATTCTTTCTTAGACAGAATTCTAACCGCTCGTCTCAACACTACTTTTAAATGGTCGAGTCCATCGGATTTGAATTCTCGCTCCAGGAATGATACGTTGAGGCAACTACCAGTTAAACAGATATCTGGTTAACTGGTGCGTACATATCACGTACGAACAGATATCTGTTCGTACGTGATACGGTTCACTGGAAGTATTAGTCGTGGTTATACATGTCAAACGTTTTGAACTGATGCCTTATGGAATTAAATGGTTGTACTTCCTAACAGAAGTCATCTGAAAATGCATTCGGCTGCTGAGTATCTCATGGGTCCATAATCGGTAGGTGGACAAGGTCCGTGTCCGGATTTAGCCAGAGTATACATTGTCATGCACTCCTTGTTCTGCAGACGAGTCGAAGTCAACGGATAAATAACACATATTCGAATTATGCAACTCACATTTTTCACCGTTCTTGCCATGCCGTTGCACAACACATCTGTCGTGACATGCTTAAGTACGGGATCGAAATATTTACTCGAGACATTGCCATGACATGCTTCTGCTGGGTCACAAACTCCCAGATCGAGCTACCGGGATCTTGATTGCAACAACGACAAGTTGCAAGCTATTGAAAGTCCTTTCGAACACTTAATCGTTCCAAATCTGATGTTCTATTTCTCTTTCTGTCGCTATGACTCGAATTGTCACCTCTACAAACGCACACACAGACCTGTCAACGCGCATCATAATATCTGAATCTTCTGACTCGATTTGAAACTTGACACCACGGAATTGGAGCTTACAACCTCCTGAAACTCCGTGCATAAGCTTTTTCAATGGCACTCAAATTTTAATGTATTGCTAACAAATGAGTTTATTCATTCCTTCAGAAGATTGCAACCTAGAAAGAACATTTGGATTTCGTTGCATTTTACTGGCTGTCATCGTCAACGTTATATATAGAGAATTGAAGTTTCTTCCAAAGATTGGTTCTGAACCAGCCAGTCTGCAGTTGTGAGGAGTGGAAGCAAACTTTTTCAAGAGTCCTGTTAGCTAATTGGTTCCATTTCAGGTTTTCATAAGTTGTAGATGTAGAAACTAAAG